CATGGCAGCATCCCACCCACCGTGACAAACTATTTTAGCGCACATCCATCACGGTGCATGAAAACGGCGCAGTATAAGTTGAGGAGCCCACCCAATCGTGGGGACTTTTCCGGTTTCTTCATTCAACCTCAGCCGGCTCTCAGTTGCTAATTCGCATCCCAGACACCAGTCATCCGCCAAAACGAGAGAACACCTCGCTCTCCTACAGCCACAGTCGTCGTGCAGACCACGCACTGCTTCATTCATTGCTCGCATCAAGCATCCGCTCTCCCATCCACCCACATTGTATCTCCCACCAAACGCTCTTCCTGGATCAAGACTTTTTCCCATAACCAACTCTCTTGACGTACAGCCAAAACAGGAAAAGGCCGTCCAATCATGCCCGGGCGACGATGTGCTTTTCGTGAAGCGTCGAAAAACGGCAGCGAGCCGCTGAATGAAAATATACAAGAAAAGAAATCGTAAGCATGTCGATGATTTGTCACATCGTGGGCGCAATCTCCAACGTCGCTCATGCTATCAGAGCGACTTGGAAGCTCGAAACTCGTTCCAGATCAAAACATCGACGGCATCTGGAACACCCTACTGGGGGCAGGCGCTCTGGACGTGGCCGGGCTGCTTGCAGCGGTAGCACACGCGCTCAGATGAAGTCTCCTGGGGGCAGTCGCGCGACAGATGGCCAACCTCGCCGCCTACAAAAGGTTAGTCATGCTCTTCCAAGTTCATCGCTGTGTACTTACAGTTGTAGCACTTCTGTCCCTGGGTGCAGTCACGGCTCATGTGACCGAAACCACCGCACGAATAACACGTGGTTTGGCGAGCACCTCCGTAGCCACCGGCACCACCGCCGTAGCCTCCACGACCGCCGCCGTAGCCGCCAGCAGCACCGCCGTAGCCACCGCCCTGGGAGCAGTTGCGGGCAATGTGACCGACCTGGCCGCACTTGTAGCACTCTTGGCTAGGGGCGCCACGGCCACCCATCTGGGCACCGCCGTCCTTGGTGCACTCGCGCGAGATGTGGCCGGTACCACCGCAGCGGTAGCAGGTCTTCTCAGCCTGGGGAGAGGTGCACTCGCGGCTCACGTGGCCCTTCTCGCCGCAGTTGTAGCAGGTTGGGGTACCCTTGGTGGGGCACTCGGCAGCGCGGTGAGAGGAGTCTCCGCCTGGACATGGTCAGCGCGTGTTCAAAGATGCAGTTCCGAGTCAGGCATGATGGTCTCCGCGCTTGAATACCGATCTGGACCTGTCGCTGGACCCTGAGGCGTGACGCTCTCGCGATCTGATATACAAAGCGGGGCCGCATTCGGACCGTGTCACCGCATCGTGGGTATGGAATCAACTTACAGTTGTAGCAGCCACGGCCACCGGCAGCGGGAGCAGGTGCTTGGTAATCCATTTTGTAGAGTTGGAAGACTGGTGAGTGTTAGCTGTAGTCCGCACGCGCCATGCCGTGATGTCGGGCTTTGTTCTTACCGAAGTATCGAAAGGGTAAGGGAGTGACGTTAGAAGATGATTGTCTTCTAAAAAGGTATTGAAATAGTCGTTCAAAAGTCGCACACCACCAATTGTTTGATTATCGGAAGCTGAGGGGTTGGATCGTTGGAGAGAGAGAGCGAGGGGCACAAAGTCGACTGCTGAAAATATCTGTTCGGGCTGGGTTGTGCTTGCCGCTAGTCTAAGCGAAATACGGTCTAGCTTCACCGTTCATTCTTGCCTTCAAGGTGGGTCTGGTGTTTGCGCGAAATCAGGGACGGCGTCGCTGTGGTTTGTGTTCCTGTAAGGGTCCGGAACAATAGGGCTTTGATTTCACGCACATTGCAGATACGCGCGTGATTGGAACTGCTGTTCATGGTACCTAAGTCGGCTTCGACGTCATTGGAAGGGGAAGCATCGCTTGACAGGCCTCGTGCAGATCTCGGGATGCATATGCAGCTAACCTGGCGTGGAAAGATTGAGTAACCGAACGATCGCACACGTGGCTGCATGTAATATTGATGCCGAGGCACGAACAGGTGGTCAGCGGGAGATCTGGTATCGGTTGAAGATGTTAGGGTGAGAGTCGGTTCAAATGGTGTTGCGAAGTGCTCTCTGCCGATTTCAATGCCAACCACCAGCGTACACATCAAATACATCCACACATGCAGCACTACCGGTGAACAGCGTTCGCAAAGTGATGTTCGCGTCCCTAACGTAGACCCTGAAATCTCGGAAAGATATTTCGATGTTCTAGACCCGTGCAAAAAGTCGGGTGGTGTCGTGGTGCCCCCACATCCGGCCAAAAAAAAAGCTTTCATCCCATGTCCACCACCCCCCTCCCAAAGCTTCACCACCACAACCACGACCCATCCTATACCTCAGGGAGCGCAAAAAGCTGGACTTGCAGGGAATCGAACCCTGGACCACTCCCATGCTAAGGGAGTATTATACCACTAAACCACAAGCCCGGTTTGACCCCTTCTTTGGAAGGAACCACTTCTCCGAAGCGGCCGATGTTGCAACTCGAAGAGCTGCTTATTGATGAAAGATTTTGAAATTGATTCGTAGATAATCCAAGGCAATCGACGTGTAGAGCAAGTTATCAGGCTCGTTTTGGTAAGTCAGGGGGTCTAGTAAGATTGTGGAATAGTGTCAGACATCGCGAAGGGGTATTCACGAACAAGACCCACTTTCGAGGTAATTGCCCCTCCATTCCGACTCAAGAAAGGCGTCATTGCGTATCTGTAGATAAGATAGAAGTCTACATGTTCGTTCTGCTTGTGCGTCTAGGATTTGTCAGTCTCTTGGTCTACTTCCAACGACGTAGACATGTTCACCTCTGTAGGAAAGAGCTTGACCTCGTGCCTCTCAACAATCTAGAAGTCTGCAATGCCGTTTAATAGATCGAGACAAGGTCTTGAGTAATGGATAAGATGTTGCGATAACTATGGAACATCTGAGCAAGTGGGTATCGTCGAAAAGATGCCCAAGCCTGGCATATCCCTCTACTAGTATCGAAGAGATCGTAAGAATTTGCATCTAACGACTACAATAACCTTGTTACTTTTGGCCGTGATGGGATTGCGGATGCAGGCGTATACAAGCTCGTGCCTCCTGTACAAACTAAGTAGCATGTTCAGAGTTAAAGTACGCATATTAGTAAGACTTTTACGGGTTGAATGGTACTACGAGTGTTGAAGTGTACATCGTCTTCTATCGTGCGGATTTCTCGAGGATAGATACAGCGCATACCTCTACGGCAGGTCATACGGAATCCTGTTCAGGTAAAGGCAAAGTAATTCTAGGCAGTATGATCCTGGAGAGTATAAAAGTGGTATAAAGATGTCTTGTGCGGGATGTAAGCAGCGCCAAAAACGTTGACTACCGACGCTAGATGCGTGATAGTTGAAAACAATGTGAAGTGGAAGACCGCCTTAAACACCTTTGCCAAGAAGTGTTGGGCTATGCGCTCGAAGACTCTTAAGTAGCGAAGGAGTCAGCTGCAGCATTCTCTCTGCTAGGCTTGTATTTCTGTAATAGCATAGAAGTAAGCCGCGCTCAAGAGACTCGAGAAGACAGTCGTGCAATGCAAGTAGAGCTCACGTCTGTAAGCAAACTATAGCGTCAACCGGCGCCAGAACTATTGCAGTTATCTGTGGTAACTCCCGAGGTTGTTATAATACGACAACATGTCTAACAGTAAGAGTGTGAAGGGAAGGTAGTGTATGAAAAGCTAGCGAGTGTCTTGTAGTACAATAACAGCACCGATACTTAGAAAACCAGCGCGATGCCTGATCATTATGAAGACATGCAAAGAAGAGGCCGTGCTAAGTTTCTTCATATCAATTAGCGCACCATGACGCTAGGCTTCAGCGCGAAAAGGATCTGTTGCCTATGTCTTACCAGACATGTTTCAGGACGTATTACTATGCTTAAGCATGCGATCTTGCTTTGCATTAGCATACGCACCACATTGTTCTACCTTCGCACGGAGAACGTATACTACGCGTTGATGAAAAGATTGACTAAAAGACACGTCTCTACGCTCCATCTTCACAACATGGAAAGCGCGCTAGGTGTGCTTCATTGTTCCAGCGCGGAAAAGACTTGCGCACAAGTATGAAGAACGAAAACAAGCAAGCCTGAGAGGCTGATGACGCAGATTCCGAGTTGGCCTGGCTTCGAGGTAGAATTCTGTGTTTCTTGCTACCTCCAGAACAAGGAGCATAGCAATGATACATCGATTTATTTGTGTACGTAGCTGTGCCACGCTGTTTTCTTCCAGCGCTATAACCTGCAGACCTAAAATATACACAAAACATCTACAAACAGACAAGATAGGTATGTTAAGAGATACACCTACTGCGCGAGTATACCAACGCGCCCAGCTGAATGAGTCCAGCCCGAAGTTTAGCAACAGCCAGGCAGGGCATGGAAAGAAATCGCAGATCAGCACGAAGTCTTGATATGCAAACATTTCGAGTCGCCGAATGCAGTGACTTCAACGCGGGAATATGAGAACTGTGTCAATGTAGATGAAGAGGAAGAAGCCAGCAGCAGATGGCAGAGTATGGTAAACGATATCGTAAATGCACTGCGCTCGTTCTGATGATATGACCGAGTAGTAAGGCCGTCGCATTCGCAAGCACCATATTGTATCTTATGGCCATACGATCTCCATTTGACATACTACTGACTAGACACTCCCAAAAGTTCTCATAATCAGAATCCTCGTCGCCATCGTTCTCTACCTCCTCCTCCTCAGCCTCCTTCTTCAACCACGGCTCCTCTCGGTGATGACGCTCAAGTTGAACTAGCCACTTCGCTACGATCTTGAATGACCGGTCTGGGCACAAGAGACATGAAGCGCTCCCTGTGCATCCACCAATCTTCAACTCGTTGGACGCTCTTGTAATCTGTTCGCGGCGCGTGTGTACCTTTCCTTCCATTTGTTCCTCGAGTTGCGCACGGTTCCACATCTTGTCTTTGGCGTCCTGTGACATCGTTTGATTGAACTGGCAGAGCTAACACTTCAACCCAGAGATGGCCTGATTTGTATGTGCGACGAATGCACTGAGGAATGCTACACGTTCTTCTTTCATAGCCGCATCGCATTCCTCGACCCCATCAGCAATGTTCACCTGGATGTCCTCTCTTAGCAAAACTTGCCAATGCAACGGATCACCCCGTCGGTGTTGCTTGCCGTCATTTTCCTTGAGCGAATCCATGTCCAGACCTTCTTCTTGATCAATATCCGGCTCAGTTAACTTGTCCTGTTCGTTGCGCCGCTTCAAGGCCTCGATAGCGCTCATGCGCTCACCGTAGAGACCCTCAAGCTCGGCTTGGGCATCTCCGGCCTATTTGCGTATCGATATTGGTGCGCCACCTTTACCGGCGGCTAGTTCTGTGATTGTTGAGTTGGTGGAAGTTTCCAGCCAAGACCGCATCCCTTGGGCAATCTCTTCCAGTATAGCGCTCCGTATACTTTTGTGGATCCTGTTCAGTACCTTGTTTCGCTTGTAGAAGACATCCTCAAGCTCCTTGGGGACAAACTCAGTTGCAGAGTCTTCATCCCTCAACATGACCTTGTAAGCGTCAGGGACACTGCCGGTGTAGCCTCACGGTCTGGGTGTATCATCGGCGCTGTTGCGTATCAGGAACTCGCGCATGTTGTCGATCGTTGTGTTGAAGGAATGAACCATCTCGGCCAACTCGGAGTCTTCTCGCTCGCGTTCGCGCAACCGCTCTTCGACCTGAGCGCGAAGCGTCATCTCGTAGTTCTCGTGCTGTACGTATCCTGTCTGAGCTGTCTGCTCAAATATCTTTCTTGCTTCTCGCCGAGTCATCTGCAAATCTGACGTCAGTATATCTAGATGCTTTTCAAGCGCAAAGCCTTGACTCACCCTCTCTCTGCCTAGTATATAGGACTGAATGTCGATGTCGCCGACCCCGACTGTATCGTAGTATTCGTGGGCGTTCGAATCGTCGGCATGTGCTGCAATTGCCTGCGCAGCTGCCTCTCCGTGTTCATGTTTGGTTTCGATGACACGTGTTCGACGAAAGCAGTACGTGGTATTGCGCTGTGGCAAGCCCGCGTCGATATACCTAAAGGTGGGTGTACGAAGTCAGTGTTTGTCTCAAATGCGGTTCGTAAATTGGGAATAACTCACCCCTCGCGCAGGCGGGGATTCAGCGCACCAGAATTCATTTGCTCTCCAGGCGTGATGGTACCATGACCGTCAGCTGCAAGGAATGCTGCTTGCTTCAAAAGAACGGTATGAGTCTTGAGCCAGGCATCGTCCGTGCGAAGAACAGAAGAAGCCGCTTACAGCGTGAGATACCTGAGTAGCATTGCTACCTTCGCAACATTATCAGGTGCTAGAAGTTTCTTACTGAGGTGGCTAGGAGGTCGTCAGTCGTGGTCGGAGTAACGCGACTCTCCCCTCAACACCTGTGTAGTTGGCAGGCTGACCTTACAACAGTAGTCCTATCGAAGTCAGCGCTAGATGTACTCAACACAGTGCCATATGGCAGTAGCAGTGTCGATGACAGAGGTTGATGTAGCCAGCAGGAGGACTTTACAACTACAATCTTGTTGGATGGAACGTCGATGTAGCAGCCTGGGGCTTGCATCTCTATCCCCATTTGGCATTGCACGGCGAATTTCAGACCGTAATAAAGCGCTAAGTGCGGGAGTTCACCATTTTCTCATCGATGTCGTTCCGTGTTGTCCTGGGATACGCGAGCAGCATATTCATTAAATCTGCAGTCTTGACTACCCTGGGGATCAGAGCGGGGATTTTCCGGTATTCGCGCGTGTAGACGTCGCCTAGCATCCATGCTAAGGTCAAGCCCATGAATTCCTTGGTATATTTGGCGACATTCAATCCAACTTTGGCGCCATCTGTCCACTCGCCCTCTTTGTTCTTGTCCTGCTTGTAGACGTCGTCCTCCTCTTTGACTGTACTGTTCACGGCCATGTTCATGATGACGCTCGATTTTGGGATAAAGCAATCCGTGGCCAGCGTTTTTGTCTTTTTCCGGCAAAGAATGCACGTCGGGTAGCCATAGCCATGTAGGGGACGAAATTGGCAAGCGTGGTCAGCTGTACAAATCCAGGCGGCGACGGAGGGATCATCATCTAGTGGTTTCGCATCCGACGGATAGATGATGTTGTATTGTGTGAAATGGGAGCGGCCGGTAGCGAAGCTTAGCTAAAAGATCAAGGTCAGTATACATGCTCGTGTACTCAGTTAGCTAGGGATTACTCACTGTGCGTTGGATATCCTCAGTTGTGACGTCCAATACCCAATACGTGTCGGCCCTTTCGATCCTTCTCTTCAGCTCTTGCTCGGCAACTTCGGGGCCTAATTTCTTCTTTTTCTTCTCATCTTTAGGCGCCCTAGTAACCCGATCGTGCGCCGGTTCCGTCAAAAACTCGCGCTTCGGACCGGTCAAAGGGAAGCCAGATTGCGCCGCATCGAAAGCGTTCTCGCGCGCCATGAGTGGGTCGAACATGACATCCGATGCGTCTTTTGGAATTGATACCGGGACGTCCCAGAGTGAGGGTAGACGAGCGCACATGGTTTCGGTTTCATGATCTTTCGATATAAGACCAAGGTCTGGAGACCGCGCCACATATTTTCAATTTTTCTTCTTTTTTGAAAATCCTTGTTTTGAGACGATGAGTGTGAAGGAAGGAAGATAGAGCCGTAGACAAGTTGGTTTTATACGTCGACAGGCCGAGGAGATAAGAGCGACGTCGGCAGAGTAATACAGCCTTTCGTACGCGCCGGCGGGAAGCTCACTTGGCGCTGGAGTGGGGCTTCCTCGATAATGCTGAGATCCATGCTGCTGTCCACCAGTACATCTCTGGCAGCGTTCTTCCAGTTGTCACTGATCTTCTCAAACCACGATCTATCGCCAGGTAGATCGCACGCCTGCGTAACGATGGTCTCGTCGATGCCGAATTCTTCGAGGTTCGCGCCGGTAGCCGCCAGTGTGGCGCCTTTCAAGTCTTTGATACAGTCGTCCTTGTGCAGATTGAGGATATGCTGTGCCTCTTGTGGTGTGAATGATCCTGGTGCTTTCCCGGTGTACTGTGTCTGTGTCTGCGGGTCAGTCCAGATCTATGGTTGATAAATCCTTCCTGCGATCGCCTTCGAAGCTTCGAACGCCGCTTCAGAACTCCACAATAGCATCTGCGCTCCATTGGCGAGGGATTGGCGCGAGTCGACTACTTGGCGGCGTGCGTTCTTCTCCTTGCTGTCTTGATCGACAAGGACGGAGATGTGTTCATGTCTCAGTGCCATATACGCTCCTGCCGGCCTGTTATATTCTTTCGCCGACTCTTCTTTTGTCCAGGACTTGATGTGAGATTTCGCAAAGAACATGTCCTGGGGGTCGTATGCCTGCATTGCGACTGGGTACTTGATATCGATTGAGTGTTTTCGCACTGGCGTTGCAACATTTTGTTTGATGCGCCCATCAACGTCGATTTCTGCCGTCACTGTTCCTCCCTCGTCTGTCACGAAGTCCCTTTGAGCCTGCGAAGTCAGTATATGTTTACGAATATGACGCCAGAGCTTACCTCTGCGTCATGTCGCTTGTTTCTTCTGTCCGCGTTCACAGGTGTGGGGTAAGTTGCGGATGGTGTAAGGGCTGTCGCTTGCGCTACTCCAAGGGGAGCAGGCGCGGTAGGCTTTGTGGGCTCAATCGCGATGCTCTGCTCAACAGGAGTGTTGGACGGGAGGCTGGTATCAATAGATGTCGTATGTGCGCCATGCTTGGGTGTGCGAGACCATCGCCTAAGCCGCTCGCTGCCGCAGGTAGGCGGAGGGCCTGTTTTGTCGTGAATTGCATGTCGTGTGAGACAGCTTCAAAGCTCTCTACAAATAGTGTCGTTCCCGACATTCATGTCTGGGTGTGGAAGGCGCGTGGTCATCAATGGAATGTGGTGAGCTTGTTGTCGGTGTTGGAGTTGGTGCGCAAGTCAGCGCGCCATTTCCGGCCATGGCGGCGTCTGGAGAGATCGTCACCGCTTGCGATAGGAATTGTCTGATGTTGTAGGTTGCTGAAGTGGTTTCGCTTGGGCAGCGGCCTTGCAATACTAGTCAGAGCTTGTGCAGATGATGCACGGGTGGTGCAGAAGAACAAGTTGGAAGTAGTGGGTTGAAAGAGTGATGGAGGAGATGTGCGAGAGCTATTGTATTTGTATGCGCTGCTTGATGCTGTTGCAGGTTGCAGGTGAGAGAGCTCCGGTATCGCGGTGCAGCCCGGCACGTGGCGGTGGAGTACGGGCTATCACGTGCGGGCACTCGCAAGATAGCCACCACGTCCACGTACATATATGAGGTCTTCTAGTCTTACCATGTTCTTCACATCTCTACATGTTCCCCCGATGGTGTATGTGGTGATGAAAACTAAGTCACTTACCCAGGTATCTACTAGGTAACGCTGTCGCCCCCTTAAACCGGCGCGGCTTATTGCTTGCACCGAAGACTTCATACTCAAATGGAACTGCTTCATACCATTTTCTTGAAGGATATCACATGAACACTCTCATCTTCACAGTAGCTTGGTAGCAAATCCAGGTTCGCATTGCTGACACCCAATCGGGGTTCCCGTGTTTGATCCTGGTGCGCCATTGAAAAACTTCCCGACGCTGGTACAGAGACACCTTCCTATGAAGTTTGTTGCCTGCAGTGTTAAGAGACTTCCTTCGATCTGCACCGCGCCGATGCATCACGAAATGGCGGGGGTCCTTGCCAGTGTTGTATCGTCGATGGAGGGGGTTTTGCGCTCTCTCTTGTCGCGCCACATATGGACCGTAAGGCGCTGGTACAATCAGACCCCACTACATTGACCCGATTCCTGTAGTACAAAGAGACATCCTGCGGTATATCCCGCGCCAATCCATTCTGTCGCGGCGGGTTGACTTGCCAGTGCTGTATACATAGTCACAGTCGTTCGCCAACAAGGTCTCCACTTGCTATTCATGCGCCGTTCCTATAAATTTTGGCGCTGTAGACGAATAGTTGCCTGCTGTTCATCAGAGGGACGTATCTATATCGCGCTAACACATCTTCATTGCGACAGGTTAGCACATGTACAATTCGGGATACTAGCTTAACAGGGTCTTGGATACCTGTCAACTTCTGGTCTCGCCCCCCACTATATGCTTGAACCTATCTGGCACGAAGTCTGATGCTTCCATGTCACACTCCTTGTGTACTCAGCGGACCCGCTAAGAATCGGGACTAGGAAGCTGCGCTAGTGCTACGAAAGAACAGCGCGGCTGCTCAACCTTGATGAATTGCTTGGTAGAATGTGATACGAATTGCAGTCACCCCTGATCTCAGCTGGCGGAGTGTTGACGGTCGAGATTGCTCCGTCGTAGAAGTGATCGCATTGGGCCGATGTCAATGGGCTTGCCAAGTATTCCTTCCAGGCGTCGATTTTTCAAATCATGTGTTGTTGAGAATGTAAGACTGCGCCGTGGTCTTGGTGCGTCGGCATGTTGGCGCGTCCTGATCACTATTGTTCATCGATACCGAACGAGCCGCTCGAACGACATGACGAGACTGCTGCGGATCCGGGGAAAGTGAGTCTTCGCGGGGTAGTCTGTCGCGGGGTATCGTCCGATTTACGTTCATGGTGTATTTTGATATCGAACTTGGGTATCGAACTGGGTTTCGTTTTCGAGATGGTGTTGCGTGTCTGTCGATAAGCTGTCGAAGGCCCAGAGTAAGTAAGATTACGTAGTCTTTGGAGAATTGTTCTGGAGCATGTCTGTAGGAAACCAAGCTCCAATAAAACCATCAGACGACGTGCTGTACCAGCCAATCGTTGAAGAAGCAGAAAAACGCGCTCTCCGTGCGACGTTGGCGGGTCCGAAACGTGGAGGAAGGCGTAGGTAACGTGAACACGCGAGGCTATCTGTGTCAACGTCCGTGCTGTCGAGCACAGTGACAGTGTCACGGCAGCCCCGAAGCTTAACGAAAACAATGGCGTTTGTCGACAATGCGGAAGCGAAGGAAGAAAGTCACATCATTTCCACAAGATGAGAGTGCGAGTGTGGTTCAGCTGCGCCTGACGTTCTCGGCTATCATCTCGTTATCGCGTAATGACATCAGAGCTGCCCATGGATTGCCTTGCGCAACATCGCTAGGTAACCACCTTTATCGCCGCGCAACACGGTAAATACGACAGAGTTCATTCCGCGACAAACTTCAGGAAACGAACCGTTGGCCCCTCGCCTAAAGCTGCACGCCTATTCTTTTAGCTTTTGCCTTTCCACCAGACGCCTTGGAGAGCTGTGGCAACTCAGTTACTGATCAGTAGTGCTGGGTAAACCGCGGGAACTCTGCATCAGTTCATCCGAACCCAACACCGTGTTTCGAGACAACGGCGCCGAAGTATTGACCGCTGCAGATGTGCCCAGAGAAAATTATCGCACCGAGGCCGCACATGTCAGCATCACGGCGTCGATCTGAATCCGCTCAGGAAATTCGGCGGAGAACCACGTTGCATCCAGAGACTTCAGAAGAGCTACACGTGCGATCAAGGCCATCCACGTACCCAGCTGTCTCTTGTCAGGCAACCCGCCGGGTTATTTAAAGAGTCTGGAGTAGAGCGACGGAATCTGGGCCGTCCCCAAAGGCCAGGACCACGGATCTATCTACGCGAAATCTCGGGCGCTAACGTGATCTACACGCCCGATTTGGCAACGACCCAGGGGTATGTCTTGGCTTATGACCGCCACAAAGCCTCCGAGGCGAAGACAGCACCTGCATGCTCCCTCGCGACATTGTGCCATACGCGCGTTGCGAGCTGGAATCATGTCCGGATTCCGCGAAAGGCAGAAGCCGTGGATGCCCGTATGCGATTGAATATCCCCCGCAGGCTCGATCAAAGACCTCATCTTACTCATCTTCCTACACAGCACACTCCCTGTCAAGACTTACATTATTAACTCTCCGCTAGCGGGCTACCTCCTGTATCGCAGTCTCAGTGTCAGCCTCGACCAAATCTGACACGCGCGGCGGCTGACCCGTCCCATAGCCAAGCACACTACACGCTCCACGGGCGTCGTGGGCATCTTTTTCTAATGTCTGGGCATGCGGTAGTTCAGTTCGCCTCTTATATGGAATTCGCTCCCACATCCCTTTGTTGCTTCTCTTGGTCTATTTTTTTCCTTGCTCACTTTGTGAAAAGGTCAAAAGGCGTCTGTTCACTCTTTACAGTGTCGTCTTTACCTTTTTGTTCGGACTTAATATCGGTCGATCTTTCTGATCTCACACTCGTTTATTCTTCGATTATATTTTGGTTGGACTCATAGTCACGTTATCATAATGCGCTACTCTGGACTATACGCAGCGGCTCTGGTCGCACCCCTCGTGGCTGCTCATGGCGGCGGCGACTTCCCTGTACCGAAAATTGTTGGCCTTGGACCCCGAGAGATTGGTCAACTCAGGAGCAGGAACATTCTTGGTGGACATGCGGCGCACGTTGCAGGGCCCAATCTACGTTTGACAGCACGTCAAGGTGGAATTGATGGTCGGTGCGGACCGAACAACGGCGGTGCGAGCTGCGCCGAGGGCTATTGTTGCTCTGTGGAGGGCTACTGTGGCCAAGGAGGTAAGGTATTTGGGTACAACTTGAAAGACCAATGCTAATCTTAATAGGTGACTACTGTGAAGCACCCGACTGTCAGTTCCAGTACGGCCCTGCCTGTGATGCCAACAAACTCCCTACTGGAGGCAGCACCCGCAACATTGCTCGTCCCAAGCTCGGCAACCAGCCATACGGTGGAGAGGGCATCTACGACTGCACTGAGCCAAACACGATTGCCATCACATACGATGACGGTCCTTACATCTACACTGAGGGTGTGTTGGATCAGTTCAAAGCTGCCGGAGCAAAGGCCACTTTCTTCGTCACCGGTGTCAACATCAACAAGGGCGCAATTGACGACACAAGCAAGCCGTGGGCTGCTACCATCAAGCGCATGATCGCCGAGGGGCATCAGGTTGCCAGCCACACATGGTCGCATCAAGACCTCAGCGCTATCACAAGTCAACAACGATACGACCAGATGGTCAGGAACGAGGTACGATAGTCTGTTTTGACCGCCCATGAGAAGTACTAATCAAGTCTGTAGATGGCCTTCGCCAACATCATGGGCAAATTCCCCACATACATGCGTCCCCCATACTCCTCTTGCACCGCAGCCTCAGGATGCCAAAAGGACCTCGCTGATCTAGGATACGTTGTCTCCTACTTCGACCTCGACACGGACGATTACAACAACGTGACCCCGGACAAGATCCAGAACGCCAAGGACAACGTCAAGAAGGCCATCGACCCCAGCAACCCCCAGACGGACGCTTTCCAGGCCATTGCACACGACATCCAC